GGGGGGGAGAAAAAACCCTTTTATTCTACCAGGAACATGCTTCAGTGTTAATTTAATGTGAACTAATGGGCGTCTCAGCAGACATGTGATTTGTGGGTGGCAAATTCCTCGACATGGATGAGGAATGCACAGGCACATCCATGCCAGCGCGGAGGTGGCTCAGCGGCTCCCTGTTCCACAGCCTTTAATCCAAGTTTTGCATTTTAATCCCTGGGTAGTAGGCAAAGGCGTGTGAGCAGGAATAGCCCGGTCTTTCCTCTGCAGGAGGAGAAAACAGGGTTGCGAAACGCTGTTGGGAGAATGGGTTGCACGTGGACAGGGCTTGCAAATCTGTGCTTTGCACCGTCGAGCGGGGGTATGGCGTTTGGGAAGAAGTTAAATGTTAGGTGGTCCTTTGAGCAACCTGCTTGGGGGGACCCGGTGGCCTGCAGAGGTGCCCAAGCTGCCAGCCAGGGATGTGGGGATGCTGCCCCAAGCCTCTCGTCCCTGCAGGGAGCGGGAACCAGAAATGCTCTGCTTGAGATTTGCACCCCGAGGGGATGCTGAGAGACAGAGGAGGGTAGATCGTGTTGGCTGCTGCCATGCAGGTAGGAAGACGATGCAAGAAGGAAGATGTAGAGCGTGGTCAAGTTAGGAAGTGGGTTCACACCGGCACCCAAACGGCACCGCGTGTCCCAGCGGTGCTTGCTGCTCCTGTGTCTTTGGGACCACGGAGCCGAACACTTGCCCTTGGCTGGTGTCAGGGTAATGGGGCAAAAGCGAAGGCACTGGGGTGGTGCGGTGGTCAACGGCAGCCTCTGCTTGTCCTTCCTGGCCCTGAACTTGGAGTCTGGTGGGATGGATTTCTCCATCACACTTTAATGGGGTACTCACGGGAGTAAGGGTGAGATGGGGGAAAGAGATGATTAAGTCAAACTGTTGGCAGTGTAGGTGGTCACAGGAGCGTGCTGCAGTGGAGACCCCTGAGGGGGCTTGCAGCTCTCGCCCTGCAGCCTCAGCACTGGTCGGAGGCGCAGAGCCGGGCTGTGCCTTGCTTCTAGCAAACTGTGGAGCAGGCTTTTGAGAGAGCTTACCTGCTTGGGCATCATCACCCTTAGCCCCCAAGAGTGGTACTTTGGGCTTTAATAACCTGAGAGTGTGTGGTGGGCTGACCCTGGCTGGGTGCTAGGTGCCCACCAAAGCCGCTCTATCGCTCCCCTCCTCAGCTGGGCAGGGGAGAGAAAATACAAAAAAAAGCTCATGGGTCGGGATAAGGACAGGGAGAGGTCACTCAGCAATTACAGTCATGGGCAAAACAGACTAGACTTAGGGAAATTAATTTATTACCAATCAAATTAGAGTGGGGTAATGAGAAATAAACCCAAATCTTACAAGCACCTTCCCCCCACCCCTCCCTTCTTCCCAGGCTTAACTTCACTCCTGATTTCTCTGCCTCCTCCGCCCCAGCGGTGCAGGGGACCGGGAATGGGGGTTGCAGTCAGTTCATCACACGCTGTCTGCCGCTCCTTCCTCCTCAGGGGAGGACTCTTCACACTGGAAGGGGTGTTGTGTTCATTTCATCACCTGTCATCTCTGCCGCTCCTTCGTCCTCAGCGGAGGACTCCTCACACTCTTCCTCTGCTCCAGTGTGGGTCCCTTCCACGGGGTGCAGTCCTTCAGGAACAGACTGCTCCAGTGTAGGTCCCCCGTGGGGTCACAAGCCCTGCCAGCAACCCTGCTCCAGCCTGGGCTCCTCTCCCCACGGGGCCACAGCTCCTGCCAGGAGCCTGCTCCAGCGTGGGCTTCCCACGGGGTCACAGCCTCCTTGGGGCACATCCCCTGCTCCGGCGTGGGCTCCTCCCCGGGTGCAGGGGGATCTCTGCTCCCCGTGGGCCCCCATGGGTGCAGGGGCACAGCTGCCTCGCCATGGGCTGCACCAGGGCTGCAGGGGAATCTCTGCTCTGTGCCTGGAGCACCTCCTGCCCTCCTTCTGCACTGACCTGGGGGTCTGCAGGGCCCTTCCTCTCACATGTTCTCACTCCTCTCTCTGGCTGCTCTTCTGCAGCAGTTTTTCCCCTTTCTTAACTGTGTTATCCCAGAGGTGCTACTAATGTCGCTGATGGGCTCATCCTTGGCCAGCAGTGGGTCCACCTTGGAGCCAGCTGGCATTGGCTCTGTGGGACATAGGGGAAGCTTCTAGCAGCTTCTCACCGAAGCCACCCCTGTAGCCCCCCTGCTACCAAACCTTGCCATGCAAACCCAATACAGATTGAGAAGGAAAACAAAGTTAAAATGCTCTGCTGTGCTCGCGTGCGCCATCCTGGTGCTGCAGTTGCTCCTGCCAAGAGCGCAGGTCGCGTTGCCCCTCCTGCCTGGTGAGCGCTGGCGTGCCAAATGCCGGTGCTGCTGTCCTGCCCGGGTCACCTCCAGCGCCTGGCCTGGGTGAGCAGGTCAGCACTGGGAGGAGGCGGCCACCCGAATGCGGGGAGCGCTGCCCGAGGGTGGGCTGGGGTTGTGGAAAGCTGGGATGCAGATGGTTTTGAGTGCAAGCCCGTTGCATAGTATTCCCCCCGAGTTCATTTTCCCTCTTTTTCTTCCCCCAAAGCTGGAAGCTGACAGACTGGCGCTGCCGGTGAGTCCCAGCCCGCTCAGCCCCGCACCCAGCCCCAGCCCCAAGCCCCCCGAGGCGGCCGTCCTCACTGTGGAGCCCTCTCCTTCAGAGAAGAAATGCTTCTTCGTCGACGAAGCGGAGCCCCTCCTGCGGTGTGACTCGACCTCCAGCGGCTCCTCCGCACTCAGCCGGACCGGCTCTTTTATTACCAAAAGTACCAAAATCAGTCGGGG